GTTGTGAATTTGTCTCTTTAATCCGATTTTCAGTTCGGTAGACTATCATATACAGCATTCAGGTTATGAATTTCCTTTATTGATTTGTTATATGCATTTCGGACTCAATTGTAATTTAAGTCCCTCTTCAGTACAAACTGTTTAAAAAATTTTATATACAATTACTTAAAAATTATATACAATTAGTGAGATTACAAAAAAAATTTTCGCGTGTAGATAATATTTACTGATTAGATGCAACGTATTAATGTGAATATGTAGTTGAAGTGTTTTTTAAATGGCTGTATTTTTATTCTTTTACAACGTTATCAATTATACACCGAAGTTTTTAGAAAACAGAATCTGAGGTAACGTATATTGTTTAATGGTTTTGTGTCAGTAAATATTATCTACACGCGAAAATTTTTTTTGTAATCTCACTAATTGTATATAATTTTTAAGTAATTGTATATAAAATTTTTTAAACAGTTTGTACTGAAGAGGGACTTAAATTACAATTGAGTCCGAAATGCATATAACAAATCAATAAAGGAAATTCATAACCTGAATGCTGTATATGATAGTCTACCGAACTGAAAATCGGATTAAAGAGAGAAATTCACAATTATTATAACTTATAACGAAAATTATTTGACAGAAAGTTCATAATACTTTTCGAAACAAAATTTCGAAAGTTATTCTTCCACATTTATTGCTTCGTAAAAATTAAAAAACTATTAACATCGATAAAACACTTCACGTTCTTACATTTGTGAAAATCGATAAGCTTTAATGGAATAAATTTTCGTTTAGAGTAATACGTAATTTCAAGTCCGTCGTTATTGACAGACAATTATAAAAGAAAATGTTTAAAATATTTTGGAATTTTCAAACATAAAAATAATATAAGTTTTAATAAATGTATGCAGGAAGAAAATAAAAACGTACAATGTAAATATATTTTGATTGATTTTATTACATTCATTAAAAACCGTAAAAATAATATTTTAGTTCAAAGTTATAATTTTGTGAAATACTTTCGGTTTAAGTGTATTCAAACAAGACTTTAAATGTGACAAGTATTCCACGTAAGAATCTAGTGAAGACGAATCTGTACACGTGTAAAACGTCAGTGACTTAAAATCGTGCCAATTTTTTACAGATTATAGCTGATTACCGACGTAAAATTAGCAAATTAAAAAATACCAACACCTCAGAAGTGTATACAAACTGTATTAAATAATATGCTATTGTAATTTATGAATTGTCACAAGATACTTATAAACAATAACCCGATTGTAATTATTTGATATTCTATTCGTTAGTTAGTAGATGCAAAACTTACTATTTCCTTCGTGTCTTTACACATTAATAAAACTGCATCGCAAAATAAAACTACTAAAATTTGGGCAAACTCAAATTCCTGATTTTTGAAACACTTCGATTCAATATAACTAAAACTACTTTACATAAAGTTAATTATAATCAAAGAATCAAGTATGTATTCTGATATTCTCATTTAGTTATTATTGAGTATCGTTTATTTTATTACTGGTGATCGTAAATTTGAGAAAACATATTTTTTACGTTATAATGAATACGAAAAAATATTTCAGTTGTTTTCATTCGAATCAGAGATATTTGTGAAGATCTGACAGTTTCTACGAATTACGGATGCATTCTTCAACTTTAATAATCCCGAAAACACGGAATGCAGAGTTGTGGCCATCTGCAAATGAAGAATTTAAAAAATTATTAAAATATAATTAACGTGTTTCAGAAATTTCTCGTATTACGAAAGGGATTTTATTTTAAGTCAGTAGTACCGAATTTAAATTTCTCGTTACGTAAAGAAAATTTCGCTATTTGAACTAACGAAACATTCGAAAGTTGTGTTCTCTGCGAGTGAATTTCATGTCATTAAACAGACAAAACATGAAAATGATAAATCGCCTTGTAATCACAAATAGTTTTAATATGCATAAAATGCAAATAAAGAACAAATCGCAAAATGTTTTTTCCGTAAGAAAATTTGAAATTTAAAACGGAACATTGTATTATGAAAATTGTTAGCTTATTACAAGAAATTTCTCTATAAACTGCGAACAAAAACTAATTTAAGAAAAGTGTCGTCTGGTAGTTGCAGCATGAAACTTAATCAAAATCTTCCATAAATATAAGAGTTAAAGAAGTAAGCAATTTTACGATGCTTCGATGGTGAACTTTCTTTAGGTAGCGATGAACTTGTCGTACGTAAACATTACACGGTAATCAGCATCTTTGTAATGCTCATGCTTCCGAATCGTAAAGCATTTCAACAATATATTGAAGATTTCTATTCCTTAATTCTAAAATTTTGTATTACAACACTCCGTGCCGTAAGCAGGGTGGTGCCAGCAATTCTCAGACAGAGGGCGCAGACTCTAGGGGCGCGGAAATGACCTGGACGAAATTTCGGGTCATAGTTTTGGGGCGTAGATACAGAAGCTCGCACCGGGCGCATAAACTACACTAAATCGCTAGTAATTTGACAATCGTCTGAAAATTAATTCTTAAAAGATATACAAAGCCACCGCGACAATGAACCTACCTTTACAGGGATCCTCTTGTTGACACAAAAGAAGCCTCCTATCGTCAGACACAAAGACACTTTGCCGAATCTTTTCATGAAATCCAATATCTAACAAAAAATTAGTATTTAATATTAAATTTATTAAAGTAGATCCGAATTACAGGCAACCACCGTATAACACGGTACTGCTATAGCACGGATTCACTCTAACACGGTTCGAGAATTGGTACCATCCCGCGTATAATACGGTACTTTTATAGCACGGATTCATTCTGACACGGTTCGAAAAATGGGTAAAACCCTCGTACAACATGAAATATAATAAATTTTTACATACTTAAGTACTCATAGTTCACGAAAAATATTATTTTCGTGAACTATTAGTACTTCAGTGTGTAAATTTTCTTTTCTCGTCTCCATACACATGGTCCTTCGCGAAAATTGTTTCAATTTTGCCAGATCTCGACGCTTCTGCTTCTAGTGTTGCCAGATGCTTTTCCCTTATTCCATAAGTGCTTAGCACCATATAATAAAATTTATAAAGATCTTTTAACTAGAAGCAAGCAATTTAAAATTACATACTTTTTGCAAAAGGTTAAGCCTGAATCTGAAAATAATGCAAAAAAATACCTAGAGGATAACGATAACTTGCCAAAAATAAAACGCTCTCGGTTAATAGTGCTTTTAGTGATGACAAAGAAAACATTGTGTAATTTATATTAATATGTATCACTTAAGAAAATTTAAATAAAGTTATTTATCTTAATTATGAAAATATAGTAGCATGTTATTTAATTTTTGGAACCTAACCCTCCTTTTCGTACTAGTTCTTTGTTTCGCATAACACGGATTCGCATAGCACGGCAATTTTTTGAAACGTAACTACCGTGTTATACGGGGGTTACCTGTATAGTAAAAGTGGAGTAAAAATAAATCTGTACTTTAAGCTTTCGTTCCAATTCCAAATGGCAGAGTGCAAATTGACGAATGTCTTGAAATCCATTCCGCATCTAAATAATTAAAACTATATTAATAAATCGAAAATTAAATTAAAAATTAAAACATTAAAAGAATTAATGAAGTGTAAATAACGAGTACCGTGAAAGCGATGCAGCATAGCACACAGCCACAGTGAATGCAGACGAATGAAATAACAATCATCAGTGCCAACATGAAAATTTTAAAAATCGAAGGCATATCGACGTACAAGTATGCGTAATACAAAAAGCTCGTGCCCCAAATTATTCCGAAATAAATAATTACGAAATTCAATTCTAATTTTGTGTTCAACTGATTGATGTAAATCCACAATTCTTGGTGACGGTTCATCAAAGTTTGTAAATTCATTTTCAAATTTCTGTCGCTTCTTCTTATCGTAGACATTTCGTAATTAAGTTCTTCAAATTCTTTCTGGAGGACAAGTATAAATAAAGCGCCTAATAGTAAACCATTCGCAATTCCTCCTGTAATTAAAATCATAACAAATGCCAACTCAACCGTACAAATGAGAGCTTCAAATCGAAACTGTTCTCTGTTTACTAGAATAGGATAATAAACAGTCAGATTGAGAATTTGATAAAGAATCGTTAATGTTATTACAATGAACGAAACGAAAATAGAGACGTTTCTCATTAGAGTATTATTTTCGAAAATGAATTTCTCATAGAAATATCTGTTTTTTAATTTAGTAATTAGATTGAGCTTATTGCGGTTGATGAAAGCTAGCATGATTGAGTAGCTGCAGAATATAAATAGAACTACAGTTTTCACTATTTTAGCATCCTTCTTAAATACTTCGTACCATCCAAAACACAACGCATATTCGTCTAAACCTGGTAACGATTGCCATAACAAGAGTGCAGAAAATTGCCATAATAGAAACTGAACACATTGAATATAGAGTTTTTTTACTTTTTGATTTTTAAAAAAGTATATTCGCTGTTTACAGGAACAAATTCGGTAGAGATCGACACCGAAAATAAGGGCTGTTGTCCAACATGGTCTCAAGAAACAACTCATGCAAATTTCCTCTTGGATATTCGAATTCATTTTGCAGTAGTGGCTTAAACTATGAAACTATAAAATGTCCACTCGTAACTGCTTACATAAGATTATTAAATTCTGTCGTGCCTTATAAGCTAATGTTCATTACGAATGCATTCCTAGTTAATGGATTTAACTAATGGTACTGCATTTACTTTTTTTCGTATGGTAAACAAGTGAATTTTATGCATTTTAAAATGCATAAAATCATGTTTTATGATTCTATCATATCATTTATAATGCATTTAAAATGCATTATGTATGCATTAATTTGTTTACCATACTATAGAATTTAGAAATGTTTAATGAAATTGTGATTTATTTCTTTTTAATAGAAAATAATAAGTGCCTCTCCCTTCTGTACAACAATTACATAACATACTCAACTAAAACTCATAGAACAAATTAAAATATAAATATAAATTCGTAAATAAACATTAAACACATTAATTATAATAAAGTATTTTTTTTATCTAGATATAAATTGTCCTCGACATTTTCAATCGTTTTTGGTGGCAATATGAAAATGATTGACTAAACTGCAATTTCGGTTCGTTTATCACAGTTATTACCGCGAGCGCGTGTCACGCTTGTTAAACTTTCTGTATATAGTAATATTACCGCTAAATAGGCCCCCACTGTGTACTCGGAATCGTAATTTCAACACTGATTTTTCATGTGTTATAAGTCATGAATATTTACACGTATATAACAAAAATAGATGTTTTTTTTACATAACCTATAAAGAATGGATTTCAAAAACTTTGTCCTGGTAACAATTTGAAAGGACGCCGCTACCAGACTGTGCAGTCACATGCAGTCATGTGTCTTGTGACCTGGGGTTGAAAGTTTATAATTACTTTCTGACTCAGCGGGATAGTGGTTGGGTTTGGGTGACCAGGTCAGGTTAACCAAGGTATTTTTAAGGTATTTTTGCTCGAAAAGTGAATATTAGTGTAAAGTATTAGCATTTAGCAGCGAGGAAACAAAAGTAGCGCGACTTTGTCAATTGGACCCACGTGTAGTCAGACGATAGACCATTTGCCATCATCGTCTAGGTGTGCTCTATATGTCCTGATAGTTTGTAATTGTAACTGATGCACGCGGAGCGCAAGTCAGTTAACGTGTGCCACAATTCTTTTCGCAGCTAGTGTCCTTGAATGACCGTTTGAACACCTGCTACAGTTATTTATAGCTCTGTAAACAGTGGGGACGGATTTAGCAGTAATAGATGTAATAAACGAACCGAAATTGCAGTCTAGTCAATCATTTTCATGTAGCCACCAAGAAGTAATTGTAAATCTCGAGGACAATTTATATCTAGATCTGCACAGATTAAAATCATTTATAAAGAATACTTTATTATAATTATTGTCTTTAATGTTTATTTACAAATTTATATTTATATTTTAATTTGTCCTATGAGTTTTAGCTGTGTATGTTATGTAATTGTTGTACAGAAGGTAGAGGCACTTATTATTTTCTATTAAAAAGAAATAAATCACAATTCCATTAAACATCTCTAAATTTTATAGCATGGTAAACAAATTAATGCATATGTTACAGTCAAAACCCGTTTTTAGTTAGAACGCGTTTTAACTAGTTGAAACTAGTTTTTACTGAATGTCTTTGTTAAAACCAGTTTTGTCTAGTTAAAACTAGTTTTAACTCAAATTCATTTTTGACTAGCAGTAAATTCTAGTTTTAAGTAGACAGAATGGGTTTTAACAAAGACATCCAGTATAAACTAGTTTTAACTAGTTAAAACGCATCCTAACTAAAAACTGGTTTGACTGCAACGCATAGAGTGATTCGGGGTAAGATGGTAAGCGGGGAAAGATGCTTAATTTTTGATATTTTCAAACGGTGACATCACATATTGTCATGTATTTGTATGATGAATCGTTGGGCCAATATTGAGTGCGGAAAGCTGTAGTTGGCTACCGTTACTTCATTTTCAATATCCGAAAAGAATAAAAGCTAGATAAGAACGAAGTTTTTGTTGTGAAATATTTCTAGAATAATTTTAAACTAAAAGTTAAAATGGAATTTATTAAAAA